GTGCAAAGCGGCCGATGCCTGCGGCCCTGCGACTCAGGGCTTGTGCCCTGGGCGAATGAAGAGATGAAGAAAGAGAACAAAGAAGCGAACGAAGATGCAAGCTAGGTCCAATGAGCTCGGTCCAAGCTTAGCTGATGTTAACTTGTTTAGCTTGTTCTCACGTGTTCGGAAAAGCAAGATCATGATTCATTCGATTGGGAAGGATGACTTGGGAAGGAGTAAAAGCAGAAATGTGGGCTGCTCCACCCGCCGTGGGATCTGGAGTCCACGGAGGTCCACGGTGGTGGCCCAGAACCAGTGGTGGCCCCGGAACCGGTGGTTCCGGCGGTTCCGCATGGACGGAGGCGGAGCGAGGGAGGTTTGCTGTGGAAGCTGAAGTACAACTGTCAAGGGGAATGTTTAAACAGGTATTCCATGCAAGTCTTAGAGAAGACATGCATATGAAGAAATCCTTTGAATTTGGCTAGAATCAAACCCTTCCTACTCGAGCTAGCTGCAATGTCCGCAATTTGACCTGAGGTCCGGGACGACTTCTTTGAAGTGAAGTACCCTCCCACGCGCCACGGGGAATTCGGTGCAGGGGAGTGTCCCACAGGGACCTTGGGGAATATGTGCCTTGGCCATCCTTGGCCCAGTTGTGGGAGAAGGGGGGATACATGGGGATACCAGACGTGTTCATGCCTTGAGGGGTCAATGTATAATTAGTAATTAGGCATATTTGATGGCATATGTGTCATTTCCATGGAATTTTTGAGGCGAAGATGGTTAAACATGTTAAAACACCCGATTTGGGTGGCCGTGTTCTGTTGGAGTGATGTTTAGCGGAGTTCCGTGCCTTTTTTCTTGGGAGATCCTGAGAGGCTTGGTTTGCATAGAGATCACATCTGCTTGCTTTAGGCGAGTCTGTCGAAAATTTCGATTTCGGCGTGCTAGCGAAGCTTGCGAATTCAGACCTGTTCTTTTTGGCCTCTGATCCACATTGACATGGGTGTGTATTCAAATTGGGAGACCTCCCAGGCAACGATCCTTGGAAGGTTCGGGAAATTGACCTGACTTGAACAAAACCAAAACCCTTGTTGGGCCAGGCAAGGAGACCCCCCCAGTCCTCACATGGCCCTGGCCTCACATGGCTTACTGAGCGGTTCACCGGTCCGGTCGGGGTCTTTCCAGCCGCCGCAGTGAGCGGTTCACCGGGGGGTCCGGTGAACCGCTCGGCTGAGCCAAGGACCATTTTCTGCAATGACGGCTCGGCCACTTGGGTACTGGGGCAGTGTGGCATCAACTGCCCTGCAGGGTCTTTGATCCTTGGCATGTCTGAAACTATCTGAAACTACGTGCGAGAGAACGAGGTTTGATGATGGATGCTCTTCCAGATGAGAAATCCTAAACCTTCTAGATTCTAGAGGAGGGAATATATTTTAGGACGGAATTGGAGGGATGCTCATGACTGGGTTTCACTTACCCGTGATCCGTTTATGACCAGACTTCCAGCTGCTCTATAGTGTTTGTTTGTTTGCTCGCTGAAGGACGACCACGCAGGTGTGGGAACAGTCGAAGGGATTCAGTCGAAAGCCGCCAGAAAAAAAGAAACAGACAGAAGAATCCAGCAACTATCCAGTATGCCTTGCTGGTTACGTGTTCAACCAATGTATATTTATTGTGATTCACAGCTGCACATTTTCTTGCTTGGTTTGGACGTGGATGTTATCATCATTGAAACCTTACCAAGGGTTCAGAGCGAGCTGAGACTTGACAAAGGACTGGAAAGAAAGAGTGCTCCTTGAGGGGTTTGTGGGAATCAGCTTGGAACCGAAAGGGCCTGGCTGAAGCCAGCTTTCTCCTTCGCCGATTTCGGGCGTCAACCGATTGGACTTACCATGGAGCTTCTGAGAGGATCCAGCCATCCAAATCCAGCCACGTAGCTCCAAGATCCATCACGCAGTTCTTTCCTTTTGGCGGTGTCACAGACCCACAGCTGGATCAGGAGATCGGGATCTTCAGTGGTCTTCTTCCCAGCCATTTGCTTGCACAGTCAGGATCTTCCTGGCTGACACTCGGGAAATGGGTCTTGCCCATGAGTTGCTTATGACGGTTCTGACCGCACGAGTTTGGGGGATCACCCCAACTTCCAGAACATTTAAAAAACGGGCAACTCCGTTCCCAGCGTTTAAGAGAGGATTATGTGCAATTGTGATTGTAGGTTGAAAGATTCTTGTGATTTTGCAGGTTCTTGTGCCACTTGATTTGTCACGTTTTTCAGGTGCTCGATCATGAGGAGAGAACCATCCTGGATTGCCCCAGTGGATGGACCGGCCGCTTGGATCATTGTGTGCAAATGTGAACAGCCTCTACCACCTTGCAAACCAAGAGGAGCTTGAGTTGCCCAAACTTGTTGTATAATGCTCAGGGAGCTGTTGTTGGTTCGCTGGTACACATCGACCTTTGATGTTCTTACGTTGGTTGTGCGCTTGATTGGTTGGTTGACTGGAAGCTGGCTTGCCCTATAGTTGTCGCTACACCACAGGGCTAAGAGGAGAGAAAGATGTAGACTGCATGCTAGTAGCTAGTTGTCGTTGGCGCTGGTGTAGCTAGCGTGTGTAATATTTGCGTCTTTTGTTGGTTCTTGCTGTTCTAGATTCAATTATTCTTGTTCTCGCTCTTCTCAGCATAACATGCAGACACTGAGTGGGAACGTGGCCAGAAACCTAGGCAAAGTGGGGCTGGAATGCATCAATGAGGACACGTCCCTCATCAGCGGTGGTTGTAAAAGGCATTGCTGCTTGGCCGGTTGAACGGCATCAATGTCAAATTTGGTTTGGGCCAAGCCATTTCTACCGATGGTCGTTTCGAACAAAAATATAAGAATATCAATCAAGGGCAGACCCGGGATACTAGCCAGAGCCAGCACTGCTTGGACCTTACTCTGCTTACCACTACCTTTGCAGAGGCACTGAATCTCCCCATGGTTTGAAGATGAGTGCCAGACTGGCACGTGCGATCCTGAACACCTCAGGCTCAGGCTTTGTGTTGCATCACTCCCAGGTTGTGATCCCGAACACCTCTGGCTTTGTTTCGGGTCATTGTTTTCCGGGTTGGCGTTTGTTTTTTTGCTTTGTAGTTGCTGGATTGGCTGGTATGTTTTGCATTCTTTGTTGCAACTGGCACCTCGAACCGAGGCGCTGCTGGAATTCTGAACATTACCGTAGCAGCGCTTCCAGCACCACCGGTGCAGGGATTTTTGTCTCACCAGGCACGCAAGGTTTTGATGTGCAACATCAGGCTCCCTCATGTTGTTTGATGCTTGTTGCCAAACCCCAATCCGTCAACTGCCAACCAAGAGTACTTCTCACAAGACTTTGGACTGGCTGGGACTGGCCTTTGAGCCATGTTCAGAGTTTCTGTTCATAAACTGGCACGCCACCAACGCACATCGCTATTGCTTCCACAACCTCGATTTCTACTTGTCATTGACAGCATTGATGAAAGGTGGCCGTGGGTTGTCTCTGTATTGATTGCTAGGCTGCTAGACCACAAATTGTTTTGGTTGTTCACATTATTCATATAGTGTGTATACAGATAATAAGCAACAGAAGGACCACCTCATATTCAAAATCACTGAGTGACACGGATTTACAATGCTTGAATCAAGCCAGGTTGACAGTCCATCACCAGTCCAATATGAATCAAATATATTATACATAATTTGTTTTCACACAGGAACGTGAATGGAACATGTTTCGACAAACTAGAAAAGAGTCCCCACCACCTCTTAGCTTGTCGTTTTCCCAAAAGAACAAATCACAATCAAAACAAACCACATAGGCCGAGTGCCGTAGATGCATGGCCGTATACTCTTTCCTTTCTTCGGTTTCCACATGTTTCCACCGCGTCACGCGTGCGACGCGACGTGTCCTCGACCGTCCCTCTCGGTCCAGGCCTTGGAGCACGGTCGAGGCAAGCGCTCCGACTGCCAGAGTGACGACGCGCCTGGGCTTCGGTGTTCACCGCCGCCGTTCCATCTAGATCCGACCGAATCCGAAGGTAAGGTGAAAGAAATGGACATGAAGCACTTGATATATTATACTATATTGTATTATTTTATTTATATATTGGGAAAAAGCTACTAGTAACAAGGGCATTGCTACAAGTAGCAAGAAGCTACTAGTAGCTAAGGGTATTACTACTAGAATGCAATTCGATGCTACTTTCCGGTCATGTTGAGAGATGTTGAGAGGCTTTTCAGATCGGAGACAGGAGATGGAACGGTGAGAGGTCGAATCGCTGTGATGAACGGGTGACGAAAGCGATCACTGACGCATGCCGCAGGCCTACTGTTGTTTTCCTGCAGGCGGTCAGGTCTTGAAATTGCTGTTGACCTTTTTTTATCCCTTTGTTTTATCGATGTTGATTTTTTTCTCGCCAGAAATGTATGCTTTGAAAAAGGCCTTTGACACCTTTGACATAGCTGGAACTTCTACTTGCAATATAGCTGAAAGACTACCTGTGAGAGATTGCCACCGGCCCAAGGATATGCTCACCGGTGGTTTGATTCTGTTCTGCATCTTGTCTTTGAAGGTTAAAACGGTGGAGTCTTTTGCTCGTGCGAGTTTGATGTTGACGTTTTTGGAATCTTTTGGAATGGAATCATGCCAAAATGTGGAAGCCTGCAAGAGCTTTCAAGATTGTAGAGTTCTGGACAGGGAAAGCCGGCCTTCCTATCTTCACCTTTGGAGATTCAGCTCCAAAGTTGTTGAAAACCATTGGAAACTCTTTCTCTTGGGTTCTCCCAAGCGATTGTCAACATGTCGCAGGGGTCACCTGGTCGGGACGAACATTTTGTATGTCGCTCCACTCAGTGGTTGCTCCACATGGGCGATGCGGTACATGACACCGCCATGCGTGGCCGATACACAGGTAACGATGGCAATGTGACACCGGACTATACTTTGTCTGGGGGACCTTGCCGACGTCATTGTGCTCCGGGATACATCGGAACTGGCATGAGAGGTGTGAGCTATGGAAAAATTCCACATGGGCAGAATCAAACACTACAGTGCCTGGGCTGCAAGACGAAGACAAGTTGCTGAATGTTCTGAGATCTTTGGCTTATTGTGTCCAGCTACTCTATTTTGTCAGAGGATTAATCAGTGTTTCGCAACTCCTGGCACATGGACCCTGATGACTCAAGCCCTGTTGGTGTCCATGACTCGTGTGATACGCCTTCTCCCAGCCCACATGTTGGTCATTTGCTACCTCCTCTTTCAGCGACCCCCGGCGACGCGAGGTGCAACCCCGGCTATGACGGCTACTTCTTAATTCAATGTGTGGATGGCGAAGTCATCCATTTGGAGGGCATCTTGACGAGAGAGTCTGTTGGCGCTTTCCCATGGATTTGTTGGAGTTTTTGTTGGATGTCTTTTCTGTGCTTTCCCTTTGGCCTTGCTGTTTACAACAACTTTTAATGGGGCCATCAACATCTAACTTCTGCAGGCTGAAGTCCATCAACACTAGACTATATATCTTATATATCTTTTTGGTGTGAACAAAAGCCGCGGGCCGCTCAGGCATGTGTCACATGGATTGCATCGTGGGGACCATCACATCCAACACCATCACACTGCCTCATGTGGCCATGAAGCATGGAGAGAACACCACCGTGGAGTGCCCCATCGAGACGCACACGGGGTCGCTTGGTCGCTCCGGCGAACGGGTGAGATTGGGCCGCCAGGCAGATGGAAACTGCCAGGCACCGAAAGTCATGCTCCGTTTGGCCACCGTGTTTCGTCAATTTCACTCCATGAAAACATCCCGCAACTTGTGGGACTCAATGATTTACCAGTTCAACAGTGTTTGTTGGCTAAAGCAAGTTTGGTGTTGGTGCGGGGTCGCTCAAAACAAGTGAGCCAACCAACAGCGTTTCATTTGCTTCATGTTTCTCCTGGCAAACTTTGTTTGACACAGCGAAGCAAAAACGGGACACTCGCTTCATGGGCCCAAACTGCTGAAGAGCGAAACAATCGGGGGGGATGAACAAGCTAATGGTCAAGGGATGTCAAGAGTAATATTTATTGCTAAAACTGGCTTGGTCCAGGCACCATATATGATATATGTTTGTTTTGCTTTGTGTGTTGTGTGTGTGTTCCTTCCAATGCAACTAACGTCATTGGGCTTGTGTCATGGTTGAACATGTTTGAACCCAGAAAAAAAGGAATGCAGTACAACTCCTGAAAAGGCAACGGATTTGTGTTGTGCAGAGATGAGATAGGTCAAGATCATGTCGAAGCTGCCACTCCACCAGTGAGGAATATCACCGTCCTGTGCGATGATGGACAGGCCCTCCGAGCGGAATCGGATTGACCACAGAGTGTTCCAGCTAAGTCCAGCTTGTTTGGTCCAGCTGAGTCCAGCTCCTTTATTTTTGTTCGGTGGTTTTGGGGGTTTGATCCGGACGAGTTGGACATGGTTTTGGGTGGAACGGTTGCAATTCTGGGGGTTGGTGGGCCATGAACTACCTACATGGCTGCAAAAGCTGTAGCAAGTTGGTACTCGGGAATATTCTATTCTGGTCTGGTAGCGAGTCTTCAGGTTGGGCTCCAAATAATGGTTGAGTGAGAGAAAGAGAGAAGGATGAAGGGAGGGAGAGGTGGGGAGGGGAGTGGGAGACAGAGACAGAGACAGGCAGACGCACAGAGACAAAGAACAAAAGAGATCAAAAGAGAAAGAATCTGAAAGAGAGGTCTCCGCTGGATTCTCTATACTTTTACTTTTAGCTCTTCAGCCAGGATTTGTTTCGGCCCACATCCGTCAGCTTGGGATGATTGCACCCCCAATCCATTAAGCTTCAAACGCTCAACGATGCTCAACTACGAATTTCTGGTCTTACCATCCAAAGCTTTATCACCACACATTTGTTCTGCCGGTGTTTCATTCGAGAACCTCCATTTCGCGAGGGTTCTTGGGGTGAAAGGAAGGCCTCGTGGCGGCAATGCAGTCTGCCACGGAATGCGAGGCCAAGATGGTGGAAGGCTTCTGCGGCGCCTCGGAACCGGTGGAAGACCTCGCTCGGATCGGAGCTCGCAGTGCGGTCATAATAGCGTGTTGGACTCTCCACGCGTTGGCCAACTCCTATCCGGCCAAAAACACGAGCTCATAGCTTGTTCGGTTGCAATTTGATGGCCGGGGGAGCCAAGAATTGCCATTCTTGGCTCCCTGTGGCTCCCCGTTCTGTGGCTCCAATGTGGATATCCGTATGGTGGAGAACTTTGTCCATTGACGTACGCTGGGTGCATGTTGTTATTAACTTTCATGACTAGTGACTGCATGTTGTGGAGTGTGCCTGGCACGCAGATAGCGGAACATTAACATCAAACAGTACATGAAATATCAGAAAGATCAGAAAGCTTCAAGACGACAATTTGACACTTGCACACTGCCCCTTTCACTAGAGTCCAAATGCAACCTGACTGGACCACTCTCCTTCTGTGAAGCCTGGGCTCGACAGTTCCATTGACAGAGTACCAGCACATTATGGGGCCAAGCTTTTGGTTCTTCCAGGCATAATTTGAGAGAGCTGGTGTGCAACTGGAGGTAGAATACCCAATGTTAGATGGCACACACGACCAGTCTGTGCATTTCATTTTCATGTTTTGCCATGGCAAGAACAAGTCTGTGATGTTGTCTCTACGAAGTTGCGATGGGCTTTTGGACGATTTGCATTATAGCATAGATGGTGGGTGACCCAAGTCTGTACTCGCAAGGTTTGCGCTTTACGACATCCGCCTAGTCCAGCATGGTATGTTTCTGTTTCTGACTGCTCGCGCGTGTTTATGGCATTTGCGGATGATATGAGAACCCCCCCACTGCCTGATTTGGCATATGAATGTGACCCACCGATGGACCGATCAAACCCCCTTGTGGCCCGACACACCGGATCCGGATCGCCGCAGATCGCCCTCCGCCGAGGATTGAATTGCTCTGCCGGATCGATCCGTTCCAATGGGGCACTGGTGCGATATCCGGGCATACCGCACTACGAGCGACTGACACCTGGCATGATACTGGCACGAGTCGAGTCTAGCGTTCTCGTTTGGATTCGGGATTTGGGGTGTGGCTGAATTTCCACCTTCATTTGTTTATGATGCGTGGGTGCGTTTTTGTTTATATAAACATATTTTTACGTCTTTAGTGTTGACCTCTACCTATTTTGGTGGGCTATTGGTTCTTGGAAAGGGAGTCTCATGGCCTCATGGCTATTTTTGCTCACCCGTTGACTGTTGAGTTGGTTGGTTGTGGTTGGACTGGTGGGCTGTAGATTTTGCTTGGTTGTCTTGTTGGAGATCATGTATCCAGACAAGGAGTATGGACATGGATGGACATGGGTGCGCCGACCGAACCTATACAATATTCTTTTAGACAATTACAGTTTTGTGGGTTCTCACTCACCCAAGTTATATATCCATATATATCCCAAATTCCCATGACCTGTCTTGGGACGTGTGACTTTATGATGACTCCCATTCCCATCGGCGACCGCTCGACTCGAGGCGACGACGGGGTGTGTGGAGTTGGGTCGACCCACTTCGACGTCCAACGTTGCCGCAGTTGACCTTTCCCGACGCACAAAATAGACCCTGAAGAAGCCTGAAGACATCCGAAAGCACGGAAGTTTATAAAGATCCCTCTCAAGTCCAATGTTTAAGGGTCCTCTACAGCCCACTTTTTTTAGCCTTTTAGGGAGTTGACTGAGTTGACCGTGGCTAGCCCAGGAGCTCTTCCATGTTCTTCCACCTTTCTGCAATACGATAGACCATATCGATCATATAGTGACTAGTAGTGTGACTAGTGCTTGAGTGAGCCTCCAAAGAGAGTTGATGTGAACGCGTAGAAATACATAATATACTTGCACGTGTGGCACATAAATGCGATGATACTACACTACATATATCTACACATCTACACATAGAAAACATATACAGTACTTAGGCGGTGCATGTTGACCTTTGTTGGAGCAAGTTTTATCTTCGCCTCCGCTGTCCGCCCCATTCAGGAACATTAGCTGTCCCGCTCCTTGGGGCGAAGCATGGCGGAGTCTGGTGAGAGCGAGTCATCGTGAAAAATCCTTGCAGAACAACTAGTAGCGATGCCCTTGTTCCTAGTAGCTTCTTGTTCCTACTCCTAGTAACGATGCCCTTTGCTACTAGTAGTACTCGTTCTACAAGTTGCTTTACCAATTGTAGTCTACTGGTAAAGCAACTTGTGTGTTCTACAACAATCAGTTTGTCTACCATGGCTGCTTCGTGGTGCCAGCCTTCAAGAGAGTGAGGCAAGGCCCCGCTAAATCGGCTTGTTCTGGTATAAATATCAGAGTTGTTCCTGGGCTTAAAGATGGTTGAAGTAGTCATCATGGCAGCTCTAGGTAGCATTGTCCCACACAGACTACTCCCGGTCCCCCTGGCATTGGCTGGATCCCCTTTCAAGACCAGAAGTGAGAAAGGGCTCAGGTGATTCCTGGAAGTGGCTCTGGGACACCTGAGGAATCATGTTTGATGGTAAGGAGTTTTGGCATGTTTTGGCTCAAGTTTCTCCATTTGCACCCACACTGTATTGTGCATACTTACTACCAGTGGGAACATATCATCTTCAGCCATATGTTGAGGACATGATCGAGTTCCGCTGCTATGACGGAAGTATACGCTTCGACGGTGTGTGTGGGCGACAGTGCCCGGGAGGGAGATTGTCGACGCTGGGCAGCACTTTTTGGACTGCTTTTGCGCACATCTTGGAGTTTTACCACTGTGAGGGTTGAGAGCCAAGTGACTTGCACCGGACACTGGCAACTGGCAACTTGAACGCATAGAGATTATGGCGAGCCTCAGCTCTCCTTTGTCAGGAACGGCGGAAACATGATGCAATACAGAACACGCCCACCGACCCAATTTGGTGCATGAGACCACCTCGAGGGGACTTGAGAACAGTTCTAAATTGTTGGCGGACGAATGATGATGGATGAATCTACACATGGCACCATGGCCATGGCACCTGGCAACTGGATGATATCCAGCTTTTAAACCACATTTGATCAAAGATGGTTTTTAGACCCACCTTCTCTACCTTCACACATGTTCACAATTGCTCTTTGACTCTCTTTGTTTCTGGTTGAAGTCAGGAGGTCTGGCATGTCCACCTGAGGACCTGGTCGCCTTCAGGCAGCCAGGTCAAGACTCTGATGGCTAAAAACAAGTCAAGCCTGCATTACTTGCTTTGCTGAGAGATGTTTTGGGGGCGCATGTCTGTGCGATGCGTCATGATTTTTCAGGGTCCTGATTATCCTGATTTAGAAGATTTTAGAGGTATTTTTGTCCTAATTGTTCACTATCGCTGGGTAGTCTTTTCCCACCAATCATACATATTTGCTGAGTGACCTTTGGCTTGAGACCCAGGAATAACGGTGCAACAGTCTTCTATGGGAATCTCAATCATTCGGAGGCCTTGATCGAACTTGGTGGGGCTGGTGGGGTGGGTGCAGGTCACAAGATGATGTTGGATTTCTGATGATTTGGCGGACGGGATTTACTTAATCCTTTGGGTGTGGAGGCTCAAATTTGAGAGTTTTCAGGGTTTGCCAAACTTTGACACTGCAATGAATGACATTTGGGCAACGAACGCCTCACAGCTTCGTTCGAGTAATGTCGGACACCTTGCTGGTCCCGTCAGGTGGCCAATTTCAGCTGCGAGACCTTGTTCCAAAGCGAGCTCACCTTCTCAGGCTCTCTCGGTGAAACATATGGAAAAAGGCGTAGCCGGCGTAGCCCATCATCACTCAGGACATGTCATGACTCATCATGTTGTCAAACATTGGAGCACCAGCTGGTGGCTTTATGGTGCGACTTCCTGTTCTCAGCATCAAAAACGGCACTCTCCCTTCTCTGAAATCGATTTTCCTTTGCGTTTCGAATTTCTTTCGCCAAAGAACTCTTCGTTGATGTTGCTTTCTTCCTTGGAGAGAAGGGCCTTGTCAGACCGCTTCGGCCTCCCCGTGGTCACACCTGAGAGACCCCCCGTGGCCGTCGGGCGGTCGGGGAGCCGAGGTCAGCTGGAAGTGGCCTGTTGGGATGGTCGCGTGAGCAGCACTGGTGGCCAGTGCTTCCCCGACTGCTCTCGAGGCTTGGTCGAATGGTTGAAGTGCAGATGCCTGGCATGGCTGTTTGAGGCTGTACACGGGGGGGGGGTTCAGAAAATACTCTTAAGTCTAAGTGAGCAAACAAAAACTGGAAGACCATAGAAGGGCCCAAGTCAGTTTGCTTTGTTACTCTCAGATAGATTAGTCGCATCGGTTTGCACTGAATGTTGCTGTTACTTGCGTCGAAAGGTCTTCGGGAAGTCGCATCCGTTTCATGACTCCATGGGGTTTTATAATGCTTTGAGAACATGCGACATGCAAATGATCTAGCTATTCCCTTGTTTTACGATGATTTTCACATGGGCACCTTTCTTTCAATGCTACTGGGGCCTCGCTTTAAGTCGTATCAACTGGAGGAAAGTCGGATCAAAATGGTGTGCCCTTGGGGATTGGCTTATTTATGGATATTTGTTGTTGTTCTATTTGTTCTACGAACTGATGTTACTGTGCTGTGCCCATGCGTTGCTTGCTTGTGTGATGGATTCAACAACCTTGTTGCATCATTGCATCGTGTTTTTTTCAACAGACAGCGTGAGCTATTAGGGTTCTTACTTCAAGGAGCTGAATGTGCGTTTTCGAGCGTGGGTGCTGGTGCCGCTGCAGGGTGCCGCTGTTGTTCCAGTGTAGGAAGAGCTGCGTGTTTGCGTGCTCAAGCTTGGGCGCTGGTGCCGCCGCAGGGTGTGCTGGGGAGCTTGGGTGCTGGCGCGTTGCAGAGTGCCGCTGCTGTGTGCGCTTGAGAGCTTGGGCGCTGGTGCCGCTGCAGGGTGCTGCTGTGTGCACTTTGGATCTTAGGCATGTGGCCATGTGCACTTTGGAGCTTGGGTGCTTCTGGGCTTGGCATGGTGTTTGGGCTGGGATGTGCTGCCTTGGACCTCGCCCGGACCTCGCCCGGGCCTCGCCTAGAACCACCATATCCTCCTGCTGCTTGTATGCTTGTATGCTTGTGTGCTGCTTGCCTTGTGCATGTGCTGCTTGTCCGCTGCTGCTTGTGCTGCTTGTGCTGCTTCTGCTTCTGCTGCTGCTGCTGCTGCTTCCGCAAAGGAAATGGAATATTTTCGTATAAAGCCAAAACATTTTTTAAACACTAAAACGCCTTGTAAACAGGAACCTGATGTGACCCTGATGTGACCCCGTCGCATCGGGCCCCCCCCTTGCAGATTAACAGTTTTCCAGTCACCTGATGTGACTAATATTGGTGACAGTAACATGAATGGGCAAAAGGTGCGAGCTACTTTCCAAGACCTCGCCCATGCTTGCCGCTTGCCCTTTTTTTTGAGGTCTCGGAGTGTGATCAGAGTGAAGAAGGGTGATTTCACATGATTTCACATCCTTTTTGTTTCTTGTTCTTCCTCTAGACTCTATCCTTCTTTAGAAGTCCAAGGGGCAAACAAATACCGAGGGGCACTTGGATACAGAAGATCATGTTCCATCCGGACCGCACCCTTTCTGCCATCCGGTTTCAGAACAGGAAAACTCCTGCCTGACCGAACATCTAAGCGAGAATCTAACCTTTCGCCAATGCTGACTGCTACAGATGTTTGACCATCCACCTAAAGGGTGATTATTAGATAATATTAGCAAACAGTCCACATTTGTCCACCTTCCTCGATTGAACATGTTCGGACTTGGAGTGCTCACCGCCATCCTTGGAGTTGGACACTGCCGCACTGGACATTCCGACGCCACAATGTCCGCCATGCAGGTGAAATCAACAACAACGGTGCCAGAATTCTCGTGCCACCTTTGCTAGCCGGTGAGTCGATCCTCACTCACTGCCACTTGGTTTTTGCAAGAAAAACGAGGTACCTTCAGATGCGGTTTGTGCCCATGTTTCTCTTGGACTTGTGGAAATCTCTGAATCTCCATGGGCCAGGTGTCATGATGTTTCTTGGCATCTACCCTTCCGGTCGTCTTCCGGTCGTCCTTCCTTCGTTTCTTTTTTTGGCCCTGGCTCCAGGTGAGCCGTCACAGGCCTATGGCATGGTGACAGTGAGCTGTTCCTCGGACAACTGGGCGCCACCGGGGTTCGGAACGCCGGTGGAACGCTGGTGGAACGCCACAGCCATCGTGGAAGAATATTGTTTGCCAAAGCTACTGGAGAGAGAGATTGGTTCTGCAGACGGTCTCCTTTTAGAAGAGGTGGAACATGGTGGAACCTATGGATAATCGACAGATTGGGGATGATTGGGGTAGCAGTCGGAGGGCCCTTACTCACGTCGGTGATGTTGTTGAAATGGTCAAAGAATGGAACCTCTTCCTTCGATCGGGGCCACACAGAACAACATATAGTATCATATAGTAACTAAACACACTAATTAAGAAAAAACATGTATATAATTATGATTAATTATGACATAATATGTAAATGCAGAATGCATAGAATGCATGTACTAAACGTTTTCTCATTTCATCCGACATCAGAAGGCTCCTTTTGACCTTCCACAGCCGATCCGGAATCCAGCGGAACGTCTCGCCCCTCCCAGCCCGAGCCCACGAGTGGGGTACTCGAGGGTCGTATGGACGCTTAGTCGACCAAACATATGTCCACTGAAATGGACGCAGAAATCGGTTAGACAGAGCACGGTTTAAGACCCACAGTGGGGTCATGGCGCGCCTCACGTCGCACACATGAAGCAACCTTGTTCAGGCATCAATATCCAGTTGTGTCAAATCTCCTTTATGTCGAACTATTGTTCTTTGGACACGCTGCCGCTGGTAGAGATTATTCCGCAAGCCACAGGGTATTCAGCAGAAGGCTCGTTATGACTTTGTGCATCCACGACTGGGAGCCCGCACATTTGATGAGTACTTATGATCTGGCAAAGAACATACATATTTGGCAAGACATGCTAACATTTATCACGTTGAAGCAATGTAGGAGGGCGAAAACAATGCCCCCAATCAGACTGCGGTGAAATCTTGGATCCCAAACCTTGTGCCCCGAACTTCCCAGCTTGCGCCTAGGTTTGGAAGGCTTTCAGCGTGTCACCAGCGGTTCCTGTGGAGATCCCTGTCCTGCGGGGCCCTTTTCCAATGTGCCACTGGGCAGCACACGACCGAAAAACATACCATTTGATGATCCATTTGAATGAAGTTAAGCAGAAGTTAATACATTCATATTACGATGGTCAAAGAAGCTTCTCTTTGGGGGGAATTGGGTCCAGGTGTTCCAAGATCACGACTTCAAGCGTTTCTCGCTGCAAACAAGAGTCGACGATGGGCGAAAAAGCGGAGACAGGTGTGAAATCATCATGAATTCACTGCAATCTGCGACGCACGGCACGACAGGAACACGCGGCATACGCCGATTGAGCTGGAAGAGGTTTGGCACGACACCGGTGTGTGGAAGGCGCCGATGGGGTGGAAAGGTAGCGCCTGGGAGCGCCCCGACAGGGGGCTCCATGGTTTGTACGCGACGCCTCTGGAAATCGGTGGTTGTATGAAAATCAACCGTCAAAAGTGTGCAAGATGGATCAAGATGGTATGAATATGTATGAATAACTGCAAATCCACATGTATACATCATATACACATGTTTGAGATGTGAGAAAGTGCGGTGGAAACACTGTAGAAGGAACGATTGTAGGTGGCAATTCTTTGAATGGAACACTGGGTTGCGTTGAACATTCCACGGCTACACAAGACTTCAACCCTCTCAGGGAAAAAGGCGCCTGCCAAGATTCAACCTGGGTGAATTGGGGCATCATTGAGCTTGTCTCATTCATAATATATTGTTTCATTCATAATACTGAACCATCTGATGGAAGCAAAAGGACACAAAAATGGACATCCCTCCGCAAAAAAAAAGTGTCCTTCTGATTTCCTCCAGTGCTGAACACCGGGCATGAAAGGAAATCAGTGATCCGGTGGTGAATTGTATTGCAACGGGAAAGCTCAGTTGTATTCCGATCCACTAAAATCATGTAAGTCAATGTCAGGTTTCCTGTGCAGTGGATACTTATTGTTCGCTATAGACATTTGAGGATATTTGGATACAGTTTGTTAAGAATGTTGATAACAGGGGAAAGGAAGAGGGATGCTTGATCGAGGAGTTGTGGTCGTGTTAAAAAAAGATAAGGGGATAAGACCACATTTACCAACGATAAAGATCTCTTGCGGCAAAATCCGTTTCGAACCACCAAAACGGTTCTAGGGTTTTGGAATGGATGTGCAAACTACTCTTACTACTGTCTGTGTTAATTTACAAATCGATGCATTTTTGGCTTCACATGTTTAGCGTCCCGGCATTGTCCGGGCGTATATCTCAAGATATGTCTATAGACTTGCCCTTGGGCATTCTTCTTCTTCCCTTGCGATGGAGAGGTTCCTTGGTTCATGCAACAAGCACGGCTTTGAACACTGACAGATCGAAGCACCACAAACACTCCCCACAAGCGCACCTCCCTTTCCTCGAAGGACTGTCCGTTGGATTTGAGCGGTCGAGTCTACATCAATTGCTTCGATCGTATCCTGCGGGTGCTCGAAGGGCAACTGGGCAAAGTGAACTGAGAACAGCTGACTAAGCAACTGTGCTTCATCATAGTCATCCTGAATTGGGCTTAGGTTGGAGGCCATGGCTCTTAGGTTGGAGGTCATTGCTCTTAGGTTCCTTTTTCTATTAGGTTTGCTTGATTCTGCAGCAAAAAGCCCGAAGAAGACCACCCAGCAGGCCGCCGGCTGAGACCTTCGGCAAGTCTTAGGACCCGACAAGCATCAAGAGCAGGCTTTTGGAGGGTTGTGACATAGGAAGATGACCATAGTTTTGGGATGATGCCGAAAATGGCCGCTCACCCAGAAGCAATCCAACATACCCAAAAAGGATGCAGCAGCCTTACATCGATCGCTTTTATCGTTGGCATCATAGGACAGCGTGCTCAGGACACCGTGCATCGTTGATGAAAGATTTGTCGCAAGGGAATCCATGTGGATCCCGTTCCCTGAAAAGAGAGATCCCCAAAATGCATCCACGGGTGGTGAGAGTGATGACTTGCTAGCCTAAGTCTCTCACTAAAAAAAGGGTGAGTGAGCATAATGAGCTGAGGCAGTGCGGCGAGCGCTGTCCAGCGCAGCAGATCACCATGTCCGGTGGCAACTTCAACAGACACTCGACCCAGTTCAGACAGGGAAAAAACGAGTTCTGCCGAGTCGATGGCGTACAGTTGAGCAGAGTCGAATGGGGAACCTTCACGCAGATGATTTTCCTCAACACCTGCGCAGAATGGGACCGTTTGGAGTCTTCTTTGTCTCAGGCGGTTCTAGCAGGTGTGCTCTCGGAACAAGACTTCAGAGTGTCAACAAACAGCACTGGATTTAATGTTAAGAGCGGCGGGAGGAACAGAACTCACCGCTACAAGAGGCTCAAAACAGGCACTGCGAGTATAACTACAGCGTGCAACCCCTTCGTGACCATAACCTTTTCAAAGCTGCCAGAAACTGCGAGTGGTCCAAGGTGGCTCTAGTACCGCCTACGTCGGCTAGCAGTATCCAAAATCAGATGTTCTTTGCAAGCAGACAGGTGTGTCAAGAAAAGAGGGACTCAATGGGACTCATCCATTTGGTACTATAGGGGCAGCAAAGCTTACATGCCTGTAGAGTTTTTTTTGATTTTATCAGACGGGGAGATCAATAATATCAACTATAGGTTACTATAGGTACTAGGTTCTAGGCGGTGTGTCGCTGCGTGATGTTCTTTTATCAAATTAGTTTATCAATCACTATCACCAGCAGGTCGCGTTCATGATTGTTTTCGGCGTTTGAGGTCCTCGGTTGGATCACGCAGAAACCTTTCTTCAACCTTGCCTGGAGCCATACAGCAGCCACATCAACTTGACCTGTTGCTTGGACGAATTCTATTTTGGCAAGAGCCCATGGCAAGGGATCGACGAAGGTGCATGCACCAGAGTCATGACTGCATGACACTACATTGCAAGGTGGTGAAGCGGAGCGGTAAGTGTGTCTTCCCACTTGACAAAATGGGACGCAATCCAGTTGTTTCCAGCGGGCTTGCTCCCGCTCGTGGCCTTGATGGGTCCTTGACGTCCCATCCTCTTCGTCCTGGTTTTTCCGGTCGTCCAGAGCGCAAGCTTTTCTCGGCACGGGTGGCATTATGAGTGGTAGCTCTCAGGTCACTTCGGTGATCTTTCGGTGACGAGCAACTGCCAGCTGGGCTGCTTCGCGGGGAGCTTCACGCTGCTTAGTTGATCAGTGGATCAGGGGCTTTCCCCGTGGGTGGGGCTTGATGGAGCTGTAGGAGAGATCAAAAGCCAAAGGGATTCAATGTGTCTCAGTGTTAGTCTTCCAGAATTTGAGAGCTCGTTGATGACACAGGTCCAGCTGGATGTTTTTGTTTGTGGGTATTGAGGGGTCATGCTTTCGGTCTTGCGTCCTTTTGGCTTGTCAGGTTCCCTCCCTTGTTGCAATAAATGTTTGGGTGAGGAAGAGATGTACATGATAGAACCTGGCCAAGATCATTTGCCTGGTCCATTTGGCAATTGGACAGTTCCCCGGAACATCCTTTTCAACAGAGGTAAATGTAAGGACCATGTTGGGTCTGTGAAAAACTGGTCTTCACCCTCGATTTCGCCAGAACTGCAAAACCACCCAGCGACGAGATCCAGATGTCGGGGCTTCATGCCTTCAGTTGGGATACCTCGCTCGTTGCAAAAGACTCAACGGTGGCAACGAACAAATCACAAGTCCCTGTGACGTGTAGATGCTTCCAAACCAAATGCGGATCGGCTGGCTTCTCCCAGCTTGGTCCCAGTCATCAGCAACATCCAATTTCGACCGAAACGGCGATTTCTCTAGCAGCTTCAGTTTGAGATAGGAGATATCCTCCAAGCTATCCTGCCCATACATACATGATGTTGCCTTTGAGCCTAGATTTCAGGACCTGGACGCATTAAGCTCCATTGTTGTTCCATGTGCTCATAACTGTCTTTCTTCAAATTGGTTGTGTTCAGCCTGCCCAGTTCAGCTCTACCATGTTTCCTCCAAAAGTTTTGTTGGAGCCCTCAGTGCCTTCGCTATCCTTCGCTCCCTACATCGCTCACACCTACCTCCAGGCTTCCGAATGGTGCCCTCGTCTCTCACCCGAACCTCGTCAGTGGTCAAACAAGCTCACCCGCCTGTCCACCGGGCTTTGTCGGGGAGGTCTCGGTCATTTGTGCCTGGGAGTGGATTCGGTACCGAGCTGGTCGAGCGGGAAAGCAGCCTCGCGAAAGCCGCGGGTCCGGAGAGGGGAAGGCGCGGGTCCTCATTATATATATATATATATACGTTATATAGAGTGCATCCTCAGGAGTTGGCTAGTAATGTAACATGTTAAAGTGAGTATATATGACTATATGACCATACGATGATGTTCCAAAGAACATGATGTTTCAGAAGATGTAGTTGGGCCTCATTCAGGGATTTGAGAGCTTCTTCATGTATTCTTCCTGACTTAAAAAAAGCCAGTTTGTAGCCATTCCAAAGACCGCCAAGAGTGGCGTTCCTTTCTTGATGATGTCCACTGTCATACTGTTCGTCGACCTGAGGACATGTCATGCACCTTCTTGAATTTGAAGATGTTTATAAATTTGCTGGGGGTTGTGTGCTCGAGTGTGTGTGTGTGTGTTTGTGTGTGTCTATCCCTATTTGGATGGATCTACTCATCTATACTTAAACAATTCCACATTGCATTCAATTGGCTTTGCCTGGGCTGTTGGCGCTGAACATTATGCACCAGTCACGGGGCCAGGGGCACTTCTGCCCGGCAGCAGCTTGCTGGTTTGTGGAAGGGTTCTGGAGAAACTGTCGAGGAAGAAATGTTGGGTTCACAGCTTTTCCCAGCTCTTCTATGAACCCAACAATTCTTCCGGGGACATGTGATTTGTACCCACCAGTTCTTTTTTTTTCACTTGGACACGACATCGTTACGACATCTGCGCTTTGCACACACAGATGTCGCCATTCTCAGGTGTCAATGGCACCATGGAGCGTGACACAGGGGCTTGCCATGCTCATTGCTCTGCTGGACGCTTTCGGGGGCCGACGGATTATGCCATCAACCACGAGGAGCTACTTGGCACCATCGACACACATGGCTGCGCGGCACTGCGTGGCACTGCGTGGCTGAAGCCGGCTCCTCCGCGGATGCCCTGCGGTTTTGGCGCTCTCCATGTAGAATAAGAAGGTGTTAAATATCAGTGAGACTGAAATACTTCAATAATCTTCAACACCTACAATGACATGAAACGACTTTCAATCAGTTGGTCCCTCAGCGAGGATTGGAAGCCTTCGCTGTTTGGATCAGTCTATATAGTAATCAGAACGATCAGAAGGCGGTTGAACTATGTCAGAGTTGCAGGGCCCCATGAACTCTTGTTGAACGGGAATCTCTTTCCAATCGGTGAGCGTTTTGGTTCCGCAAGAGTCACATTCTGCTGACCACCTGTTTCAATATGTGTCAAGTTCAGTATCCGTTGAGGTTGCTGTTCAACGTGGGCATTCGCAGCATGTAACGCACCACTTGAGCAAGCCAATTCAATTCACACCCAGCTCTGCGACTTCCATTGACTTGTCACCCGTTGTTCGGCCTCGAAGTGAGCAAGTCAATTAGAGCCTTGAAGAAAGGTGAGTTGAAGAAAGGTGAGCAGGAAAACCCTTGGTGGAGTTGGTGAATCCCTTTGTCATCCTTCCAGCGCTTTCAAGTATTGTGTCGACCCACAACATGACTTTATGATACTTTATGCAGGAGGGCATATTTTCGTGGGATATATATTTTTTTTGGGGTGGGATACTTTTTTTTTTTTTTTTAAAGGGCTCTGGAAGGAAGGAAGGAAGGAAGGGAAGGAAGGAAGGAAGGAGGGAAGGAGGGAAGGAGGGAAGGAGGGAAGGAGGGAAGGA